GACTTAGAAGCAGCGATGATCGCATCCCTGTGATCATTCTTGTTTTCTGCTAGTCTTGTATTTAGTTATTTGCAGGTAATTCAGGGTAACCAGCAAAGTCTTTGACAAGCAACTAGCAGAAGCTATTGTAAATAATAATAACATCTTTCTTCAAGAAAATAAGGAGCAGGAGGCCTGCCAGAGAGGTTGTAGGACCTATAGAGGATTGCAGTGTAAAAAGAGACCTTGGGGAAGATAAGACCATATCCAGTTGAATTCTTTGCCTCTGTGTCCAGAAATCAGGTAGGTTGTCACCCTGGGGCTCTTCCTTGTGAGGGACTTGGCAGAGGCTGTGTCTGGGATTGAAGTGTCTGTCAAAGCAGCACTGGAAGAAATAGGTGAGGGGAAGTGGAGAAAGTCTCTGGGATCAGATATTTAACCTGAGTCCTGAAGGGACTCAAAGAGAAAACAGGTGAGCTCATGGCTTTGGAACAGAGTTTTTCTCCGAACTGCCTTGGGTGAAGAGAAGGGGAGGATGGTGTGTATGGCGCTGTGTTTCATGAAGGGTTTCAGAAGAGAGTCAGGCAGCAACAGGCTGAGACAACCTTGATGTCTGTCTTGGACAAATCCGTAAAAGCACTACTGAAGAGAAGATACATTGGGCATGTGGAGAAATAGGACCTGGGTTTTACAAAGAGGAGCCAGCGGACACGTGGATATGGTTCTTGGGCTGCTGTCTTTGTCGTGGAAGTCTAAAAGGCTTTTTGAGAAGTTCGCTTGCTGCAAACTAAGGGGGCACTAAGCAGCCAGAGGCTGAGGGCACGTGTCCGATGTGGGTTATGAGTTGTTTAAAAGAGAGACAAGAGAGGGAATGTGTGGGTAAGGGTTTGTCACTTTGGAAAGAGGAGACCGTAGAGAGACTTGGATGCGTGCTGGTAGCTTCTGTGATGTTGAGGGTTCCCCATTCAGAAATGGCTGGGGAGAAGGAACCCTCCAGGAAGGAATGAGATCTTTAGGTTATGATGAATGATTGCATGGAAATGTCAGCTCATGTTTTTGCTAGCAAGCAGGAAAAAAAATAATGCTAGAATTTGTTAGGGGAAAAACACAGGACAAAAATAATTCTGTCACTGTGTGAGTATGTGGTTCACCCTTAATGTGAATACCATGTGATATGTGAGGGGGGGTCGGGCTCTGCTCCCAAGGAACAGGTGATGGGACAAGAGGAAACGGCCTCAAGTTGCTCCAGGGGAGGTTTAGGATGGATATTAGGGAAAATTTCTTCACGGAAAGGTTTTTCGAGCACTGGGACAGGCTGCCCAGGGCAGTGGTGGAGTCGCCATCCCTGGAGGGATTTAACAGATGGGTGAGATGTGGTGCTGAGGGACATGGGTTAGTGGTGGCAGTGGTAGGTTCACAGTTGGACTCAATGATTTTAAAGTATCATTTCACATGTGCCTTGTTCCTGTATGTTTTTCCAGGTGTTTGCTTTTGCCAGTTGGGAGAAGAAAGTACTGGGCTAACTGGATGTTTGGTCTGACCCAGTATGGATGAGATGTAACAACTAGCATTGACTTAAATGTTAATTTTCATTCTGATGTACTGGATTGTTGACTTTATGGGGTCATTCCACTTTCTGCAACACATCTTGTCAGGCTGTCAAGGAAGGCCTTCTGGAAGGCCTTCTTAGCAGCCACAGTGACTGAAGACATTCCTTAATATTTAAATGGAAATACCTAGTTCCTAGTGCTCAGAAAGCAGCTTGTTCATAAAAAAAGAGTGTGCCCTGCATCTTTGCACATAAAAGCACCTGCATTGGGTGAGAACACTGGTCTGTCATGCATTGTTTTATGGATATGTTAACAGCAGAGGTTCCTGCAGCACTGGAGGTTTTTTTTCCTTTCCCTGGTAAAACTGACCATTTTTTACCACCCCATTAGCTCCCTGGATATTTAGCCCTGTTGGACCTTTCCTTTTATCACATGGTAATACAATTTCTTTGAGAGGCTTTGCCGAAAGGCTCCGTGAAATATCTTTGGACAACCAAGTGGATTGCAAAAGTATCTCTTTTCTGCCTGCTTCCAGACTCCCTCCGAAAACATCACCAAATTAGAGAGCCGGGACTTCCCTTTAGAAAAGCTGTTGGTTATTCTGCAGTAGGACCAGTTTATCTCTGTGTTTGTTCCTTGTGTTCTCCAGAATGGTTTCTTCTGATGTGGATGGTGGAGGTGTCAGGGTCACTGCTCTGGAGTTCCTCATATCTCTTTTGGAGTTCTTTTTAATAATCAGCATCGTGTTTCCCATCTTCCTCCTTTCCGTAGGCAGGTTCACGTCTGGGCTTGCACCTCACGTTGGCAGTCCAGCTGTTTCAGGTTGGAGCTCCAAGCTCTTGGGCCAATGTTTTCTTGTCTGGTGGCTTTGTTAGGGTTTCTGGTATCATAGTTAATCTCTAACTGTGCAGCCAAGCTTTTCCTTCCCTTCAGAGACTCTCCTCCATGGCAGATCCTGAGAGGCACAGTCACTGGGGCAGGTTGGCTGTCAGGAGTGCCTCCCTGGAGAGCAGAGGAATCACAGACTGGTGAGAGTTGGAAGGGCCCTCTGGAGCTCCCCCAGTGCCACCCCCGGCCAGAGCAGGGGCACCTCCAGCAGTGGCACAGGATGGCGTCCAGGCGGGTTTGGAATGGCTCCAGAGGGGGAGACTCCCCCACCTCTCTGGGCAGGCTGTGCCACTGCTCTGCCGCCCTCACAGCAGAGAAGGCCCTCCTCAGGTTGAGATGGAACTTCCCGTGGTCATGTTTGTGCCCGTTCCCTCTTGTCCTGTCACTGGGCACCACTGACAAAAGCCTGTTCCCATCCCCCCAGCACCCTCCCTTTAAGGATTTATCAGCATTGATAAGATCCCCCTCAGTCTTCTCTTCTCCAGACTGAACAGCCCCACGTCCCTCAGCCTTTCCTCAGCAGAGAGATGCTCCAGTCCCCTCATCATCTTTGTAGCCCTTTGCTGGACCCTCTCCAGCAGTTCCCTGTCCTTGACCCAGGGAGCCCAGAACTGGACACAGTTCTCCAGACGAATTAGCCTGGCAGACTTCTTCATTGGTGTTGTGCTCCTGGATATGCTGTCACCGGAGAGGCTGCTCTGATGAATTTTTCAAGTGGCTGAAACCTTGAAAGGGACACGCGTGGATAACTCATCTTCTTTGTGTGTTGTCATAGTGTTGGAGGATCTCTAATCTTTTTCGCTCTTGCCGTGAAGAATCTGAGTAGGAGTCACCTGAGACTGGAGATCAGCTGGTGTGGTTGATTGCGGGAGGAGGAATGGTGTAGGTCCCTATTTCTGATGAAGCAGGAGGACTTGGCATTGTTGGTGTGAGAATCTTAAGTGGTACCATGCAGAAGGAGGAGAACTTTATGTAATTAGTCCAGAGGAGTGTGCAGTCGAGTTCCGTTTTGAAGAAGCAAAGCCACAGACAGTACAAGCCTCTCTGCCACCACCATAACCGCTGTAGGTGAGAGAAGCACCCCTAGATGCAGCACAGAGGTGGCTTCTCCTGTGATTTGAGCACTTCTGCTCTCAACAAGTTTCAACCATGGCTCCCAAGCAGTAAAAGCTGTTCCTTTGGAGAACCTGGGATTCTGAAAGGTTTTTGTTGTCTGCACGACCATGCCACATAGGTCATAGTGGAGTGCGATAATGTTCCTCCAGAACTTCAGGAGAGGTACCCCTGGATGCAAACATGCTGCTGAACGTTTGAGAGCGTGCAGCACTGCTGTTGTAAGTAGCTGAGACACAGGATGGAGAAGTCATTGCTGAAAATTAGCCCATACCCACACAGAGACACTTTCTGTGGTGCCACGGGCAGAAACAGTGTAGGGAGGAGCTCAGTTTTTGTGTAGCTTTGTAGAGCATTTAAATCTTTGCAGCCTCTGCCTCTGGGTACTGTATTACACTGAAGCAAGAGTTGGCTTTTCCCCTCCGTTCCTGCCAGCCCGGATTGCTGCCAGCAGTGTTTCAGCCTGGCTGAGCCAGGGCAACCGTGCCACTGTGCGCGACACCAAGCGATGCACTTCATTGCCGTGCCAAGGGCCAAGGGCACGTCTGGCACCAACAGTGGCCAGAAGCACTTGTTTTTAAAGCAGGTTGTAAAAATTACACACCTGCTTACAATCTTACGGCTGAAAATTATTGCTGACTCGTAAAATACTTCTTTCTTGTACTCAAAGTGGCTAAGTTGAATGCGCGTTTTGAGCTGTGACTTGATCGGATCAGTACCAGCTTCATCATGAGAAACCTGTTTTGGGATTCACCACTAGAAGCTTTGAAGTCCTGTGCTGACTTCTTAGGTTTTGTTAAAATCCAGTGAGCATTAACATTTACCCATCATATCCTGGGAAGGCACAAATGCTTTAGAAATGGCCTGTTCAGAAAGACGGTTTTGTTGTGTTTCTTTTCTGATGGTGATACTACACCCCCCCCAACAGTTTTTGAAAATACAGCTTAAAAATGTGTTAATGTTTGTAAAATCAATACTGACAGTCTACTCTTCGTAAATCAGCAGATAGAGATATGTGTAGAATTCACAAGGAGATTCAACTACCAAAGATATAATTGCTGGCAAAATAAGTGATGGAAGAAATTCAGGACCAGAATCTTTCTTTTTAAGATTTACTTCAAAGCCATGAGCCTCTCTGAGGTTCAGATTCAATGTCTCTGTAGGATGTCACTGGCAGTAACACAGTACTGAACTCTTCAGTGACCCTTGGACAGTAATTAAATAAATACTGTGTATGCACTGGGAGTCTTAATATTTTTTTTTTCCCCTTAAGGTAAACTTAGAGTCTCCCTTCTGTTTGCTGAGGACCAGATACCTATCTAGTAGAGTTACACTGTCTGGACCCAGAAGTAGGACCTGGTTATGTCCTAAGCAAGATGAGTTAGGTCACTAAAATTGCAGCTTCCGTTGTGTTGATGGTTTTTTTCTCCAGTGTGATTACTCTGTTTTACCAATGCTTCTACATCTGTTTGTATTTTCTTTTTTTCTAGTATGGTTTCGTCCTATTTGGTTCATCATGGGTACTGTTCAACAGCAACTGCCTTTGCCAGAGTCACGGACACCACAATCCAGGAAGAACAGACCTCAATAAAGAACAGACAAAGTAAGTCTCTCGGGCAGTCGTTCGCAAAGCATGGCACGCTGGCCACGTGTCACCTTCAGGGCTCTGTAGAGGAATGAAGTGCTCTGGAAGTAGAGAAGTTATTCTACGGCAGTACAAAGCTGTCCACAGCACACTGATGACGTAGTGTTGCTGCCTGTGGGTCAGTAGAGCTTGGGGACCTCTGCTTGGAGCACTTTTCCCATTGCCACTGTGTCCCCTTCATCCTCTGCTGTCTTTGCCTGAAGAACTGCCCTATTCTTTGCCTGTCTGCTCTGAGAAATGCCCTGCATATGTTGAAGAGAGTAAGTTTTTTGATCAGCTTGGTTAATTTTCCTCAATCTTGTTGAAAATCAGTAGCTGAATCCTGGAAGAGATGAGGTGACTCTCAGCTTTGAGAGGAGCAGTTTCGCATGTCAGGCTAAACATGATATCCAGGGCAGAAAGCGCTTTCTTGGAGGTAGTGCCAAATTGGTGGAGAATAGAATGATTAGCGTGGACTTTACCTGAGCTGAGGTCACTGCGTACCAGGATCCCTGGGGATTTGGGTTCTTCCATGCAGTCTGTTGCAGCAGAGGCAGTTTCATAGGCACGGTCACAGGGACCCAGACACATCAATCTCTTTTGACTACAGCTCCCAGATTTAACGAGTCTTCCAGTCCCTTTGCACATTTTGTCTTCAGGTAAATTTTTTGCATACTAAGGATTTTGCGAATTCACAGCCAACGTGTTTAAGCTCACACTAGGTGAAGACTTTGTATTCTGTGTCTGGTTTCGTTACTGCTGTTTCCTCCAAAGTGGATCATCTCTCAGTTGGTAAGGCTGAAAGTGCTTTTGGTTCCTGCGGAATACAGCTTGCAGCTTTCTCCTGCTATACTGTTGGGGGTTTTTTTTAGCTTTTCTATTCGCGGGCTCAGGCTGCAGAGTCACAGAACGTTGGTGTGTTTTCTGCATTCTCCTGGCTGTTGAATACGGGCTACGTCCCGCTCTGTACGTTTCCCTTCCCTTTGTGAACCATTTCTCATGTGACTCTTACGTACCAGGAGCATCATGCCCCTTTGTACCTCCCTCTCCATACATTACATACGCTTACCCAGCATTTGGGTTCATTTGGGGACTCTGCTTAGTACCCAAAATTCCTTGTAGTTGCTGCCCGTTTGTGCTGATGGGCTTTGTGCTTTCCAGGTCACACATTATGCAAGCCTGACCTGCGCCGATGTTCTTGCTGGTGTGGGTTTAATTGGTAAAGCCTTACGGGAGGCACGCGAGACAGGGCAGCCTCGTTTGTCTGAGGACAGGTGACGAGGCAGATGGGAGGGAAGGAATACAGAGCTCTGAAGTTGGGGCTTAAATAAAAGGTGCGAGGAAAACACAGATGGGAAAACAAAAAGAGGAGGAAATATAAAAGGCAACGACATCTGTGAGAGTTGCCAAACAAGGCAAAGAAGGGAGCTGTCAAAAGCAGCGAGACATGAAAACGGACGTGCAAGTAAGTAGAAGAAACAGGGCGCGAAATGAAGGAGACTGTGCAGCACACGTTGGTGTGAGAGCCACATCTTTGGTTTTGGCTTTCAGCTACAATAACAAGCAAATAGACACCAGGAAGTGGGAGCCAAGACAAGTCATTGCAGATTGTTACTGGGGATTGCTAATGAGGATTAACGGGCTGGGCTTTCAACTGCTCATGACTTGTGAAAGTCACAGCCTGTTGTTAGGAGAGCCTCTGCTCGCAAAGCACCTCACAGGCAATTCAAAACCTTCTCTCTGTTGTTTGTAAGGAGTCCTGGAAAAACAGTGTTTTTAGTTGTAAGTACATTTAGTTTGTAGTTTTAAGTACACATAGGAAAAAAATAAAATGGGAATCTCAGCAGCTTCTCCAAGCGTTCAGGGATGGGATCTCAAGTTAAGTCTTGCCAATGTGTCTTCTGACCCACTGAAGGAACATATGCAGTACAAGGACACCCAGGATGATAAATGGCTTCTGCCTTATATCTTTGCACCTCCTAGAAGCATACAACTCGTTGAGCTGTTTCTAGCTTAGTCTGTAGCTGAGTCTGGGAGCTAGCTTACAGGTGTTACATCCTCACTGCAGGCCAAGCTCAGGTTGCTTCTCTGGTAGCCCATCATTGAGGTGGGACTTGCAGGAACCCAGTTTTGTTGGTATAATTACTTCTACTTAGAGGTAGGGATATTGGGGAAACACTGCTGTGCTGTGGTTTAATCCCAGAGACCCTTTAAAAATAGTCTGCTTATCTGATGCTCAGCCATACCTACGCTTCCAAGCATGAACCAGCCAGAGGATGTAACGTGGGGGTGACCTAGGGACTTCCCCTCTGAAATTGTCATTTCCCCAGCAGCCTCCTTGCTCCCATCCAGTTGTTGTGTCCTGCTTCTTTTTCCATTGCTGCATAGCTCTGTGACTAAAGGACTGAAGTCCCAGAGCACCCCACCCCAGCGCACCCACTTCATCTTTCAGATCCTTCTACTTCTGGTGGTTCTGAGCTACTAACAGATTCTCCCTTGTTTTCACAGGCTTTTCCTTATCCTAATCCATAATAAATAGAATCATGGAATGATTTAGGTTGGGAGGGACCTTGAAGATCATCCAGTCCCACCCCCCTGCCCTGGGCAGGGACACCTCCCACCAGCCCAGGTTGCTCCAAGCCCCGTCCAACCTGGCCTTGAACACCTCCAGGGATGGGGCGGCCACAGCTTCTCTGGGCAACCTGCGCCAGGGGCTCACCACCCTCACAAGGAAGATTTTCTTCTTAATACCTAATCTAAATCTCCCCTCTTCCAGTTTGAAGCCATTCCCCCTCGTCCTATCACGACATGCCTTTGTAAAAGGTCCCTCTCCAGCTTTCAGGCCCCCTTCAGATACTGGACAGCTGCTATAAGGTCTCCCCCGAGCCTTCTCTAAATGCGGTCCCCAGTTCTCCCTAGCCCTCGTGCAAGGTGGTAGTGGGGGGCTGTGTGGCATATGTGAGACCACCCTTCTGGCTGTTCTTGTTGGCCGGTCCTGTGTGTCAATAGGTGTCTTTCATTTTCAGGAATACAGAAGCTAGTATTAGCAGGCAGAGTGGGAGAGGCTATAGAAGCCACCCAGCAGCTCTATCCTGGCCTCCTAGAACATAACCCCAACCTGCTCTTCATGTTAAAGTAAGTATGAATAGCTTTATACTCCCTAATGCGTGAATTTATACCCATGTGTGGATGAAGGAGGAAAGAAAGAGGCTGTGCAGCCATCCAGTCTGGCTGCGCACCGTGGTCTGAGTTCAAACTGTTTGAGACCCCTTTGGGAGCAGGTGGGAGAAGACAGAGGTCCAGTCCTTTGCACAGTACTTGCAGCGACGTAGACGTAGCCGTTTTGTTGTTGCTCAGACCTGGCATGGCTTTGCCTCTTGAGGTCAGGCAGAGGTGGATGAAATTTTAGCTCCCCTGACTGCCAGAAGTTCCTTCACAGATGGCCTTTAGTTGTCTTGTGGAGATCTTGTCACACTGGTGCAGGTGGCAGTCACTGCGAAGGTTCCTAGAAAGGCAGATGGATGAAAAAGGCTATCTGGGGAAGAGACCAGAGAGGTCTCTTTAGGGCCTGGGTGTCCCAGTTCTCCCAGCCATACAGAGTGGTTGTCCCCAGCCTCCTGAGATGTGTAAGGACAGTTCCCAGTAAAGCTAAACGGGGAGCGGTCCTCACCGTCCTGTCACTGTGGAGATGGGATTTTTTACCTTTCCTTGTCTATTTGCCATTGGCCAGCAGATTGATGGAGTAGTGGGGGAAATATGACATGTGGCAGATTCAGTATCATGTCCCTGAAAAAAAACCCCACAGTTGAGTTTTGGAGTTCCTGCAGAGGTGGTGGAGATGAAATCACACTATAAAGGAACAGTTTCTTCTTAGCACAATAGAAATAAACTTGCTTTTTGGGAACGTCTCAACGTTTGTTAGCATCCAAGTTGCAGTTTCTGAACTACTTCCTCCCATAGCGTTATCAGAGCACTCGCGATACGAAGGTATTGGGGGTCTGAAATGTCTTTTTCAAAGGCAAGAAATTGAACTCCTATGCGGGTTCTAGGACTTCTCTGCTCAGTAACGACGGAAACCCCAATGCAGAGCATCCTGGCTGTCACGCACCCTTTTCTTCTTCTTCCCTCCTATGAAATCAGGTGTCGGCAGTTTGTGGAGATGGTGAACGGGACAGACAGTGAAGTCCGTTGTTTCAGTGCCCGCAGCCCCAGATCCCAGGATAGTTACCCCGGATCCCCCAGCTTAAGTCCTAGACACGGATCAAGCAACTCACACGTTCATAGTACCGGTAAGTGTGTTTTGTGTGTCACCTGGTGAGAAGAGCAAACGTTAAAGGTCAGCTGCTGTCCGTTCCCTGCTACTTTCTGTATGTTATTCTATGAAATGCTCCTTTTCTTTCTGATACCCAGCTGAGAGGACATACTATTGTCATGGGTGTCTATACTGTTACAAAATCGGTTTTGCATTAGTTACTTTCCACAGACAATTGTTTGCAGAGCAGATTTCTTTCAGAGTAAAGAAGCTTTTGATGGTGGCCTTCTAGTGCAGCCACTAGTGACTCAGTGTTTCACTGACCGAGCTGTGAGAACAAACAAAGATTGTTTCCCATACCTTGGAGTCTGCAGAAGAATTGCTTTCCAGTAAGGACCAAGCAGAAGATGCACTGTTCTGGCTGACTGAGCGAAAGGTGAAGGGGATGATGGCGTGCACGAGAGCTTCTCCTTCTCCCACAGGCTCTACGTTGCAAGCTCTAAACATGTGAGAAGGGAACAGTTCTGTACTTGCAAAACCCATCGCTGAAACATCAACTCTTTGCAGTTTGGGAAATTAAACTTTAGGATTTGAAGTGGAAAGAACAAGGTAAACCAGGACACCCAAGCTGTCTTCCCCGGGTAATTATTGACTACGGCTTTGAAGATGGAGCCGACTGGGGAATATGACCTGAAGAGCCCCTGAAAATACTCTGAGCTGCTTCACTGAGCCTTGAGCTGTTCACAGACATCTGAACATTTGGTTTGGGTAAAAAAAAACCTGCTGCTGCGTGTGACAGTCGACAGGCAAATGTGTAAGGGAAAGGAGGACAATTACTTGAATGCCTCCAAGCTGTCACTGACCTTCCCAAGCCAGTATCTTTGTTTTCCTGTGTTGTGTTGCGAGAAACCCTGGGTATGTTTCTCTGACTAGATAGTCAGAATGATCCCATCAGCCCATAAAAACTCTTGGTAATACCTGTTTTCAACTGGGAGATGAGATGCCTACATAAAAACCACCTGCAACACAAGGAGCCCCTTTAGGCGTTGAAAGGCTGCAATAAGGTCTCCCCGGAGCCTTCTCTTCTCCAGGCTGAACACCCCCAACTCTCTCAGCCTGTCCTCCCAGCAGAGGGGCTCCAGCCCTATGATGATCGTTGTGGCCGTCCTCTGGCCCCACTCCAACAGGTCCATGTCTTTCCCATGCTGGGGGCTCCAGAGCTGGAGGTAGTACTCCAGGTGGGGTCTCACCAGAGTAGAGTAGAGGGGCAGAATCCCCTCCCTTGACCTGCTGGCCACACTTCTTCGGATGCCGCCCAGGATAGGGTTGGCCTTCTGGGCTGCAGTCGCGCGTTGATGAATTTGGATATATCGGCATCACTCCTGGAGGAACAGCCATGTCAGGTCACATCGTCTAGTCAAGATCCTGTGGTCAATATTGGTTGCCTAAGAAGAAGGCAAGCCCATAGTGAGGTTTTTCCAAAACAGTATTGAGCCCCTAATGATTTGCAGTTGTCTTAGCCAGTAATATTTGAATCCATATAAAACTTGTGGTCATCACCAAAGGTTTGTGTCACATGTCTGTGAGTTCCACAGCTTGAAAGGCACCTTTTGTAGGGAAGGAGATGAGATTTCAAGCCTGACTCTCCTTTCAGTGATGTTTGTTCTCCCAAGGAAGGTTAGCTTGTGATTTTCAAGAGTATTGCTGTTATTTGCTAAGTGTTGTGTGAATCAAGTGTATGCCTACCAGAAGATAGGTTGTGGAAAGCCTGGGAAGTTCTGCTTGCAAAGAGTTCTTGTGGCCCAGTTTTCACCTGTGCTCTCACAGTTTTCCTGGATAGAAGAGGACTTATAAGAAATATTTGGGTTTGTGAGAAGAGAGTTTGTAAACTTCTTTACAAACTGTCCATGCTTCATATTTCAACACTAATTTCTGTGCTTGTGTGAGCTGCTTCTGCTGACCTCTTATTTACAACCTATTTTTGGAACTTCCTTAAGCTCAGATCTTGCTGTTGAGCAGTGGGGTTCCTTCGATATTCATTGATGTGTTCTCTAAACCTCATTGAATTTAAGGATGATGAATAATAATTTAAGATCTGCAGTATTATTTTGCTTTCTTCCGTTGGGGTCTGGTCTCCTGCTAAATTGTTGACTTCACAATAGAGTGGTATTGTCAGTCAGTCTGGTCTCATTTTTCCCTTTCTTTTTGACTTTCAGGAGCAGATAGTCCAACCTGTAGCAATGGAGTCATGTCCACAAAAAGCAAACAGAGTCACAGTAAATACCCAACACTGAGTTCATCATCTTCATCTTCCTCCTCCTCCTCCCCCTCATCTGTGAACTACTCGGAGTCCAATTCTACAGATTCTACCAAATCTCAGCAGCACAGTAGTACGAGTAACCAAGAAACCAGGTAATTTTTTTTTCCTTTTTTTGACTGAGGAGGGTGAGATGGTGGGAGCAGGCTCAGTCTGCTTTCAGAAGAGCCTGAAGGGCATCTGTCCTGCTCTTTTGAACAACAGAGTGACTCTTTTTTATCTACAAGGTCACTACTATTCCCAGCAGACACGAGCCTGTTCCAGTTCCCCTGCTCTGGAGCGGGGGCTCATCTCATAAGGGATATCATGATGCTCTTGTTTCAAGCACTGGGCTGTCCCGTTAAACTGGTGCTGTCAGAGCCCAATGTGATCGTTTGCATAGAAGCTCTCCTGTTGAGCTGTTGCTGCTGCTTCGGCCAGTCGATTGCTGCTGCCCTTCAGTGGGTGAGGCAGCAGCTCAGGTGCTTACTGGGTTGGGACATTGCCTTCTCGAGTATTTTCCTTGGACTGCCTCTACCTGTTGCCCAGTTCCTTCCAGATGAGTAGAATCTCTTGCCAATTGCAGCTGGTACTCATCCTCTTGAGCACTGTGCCAAGCACAGTTTGCAGGACAGTTTGTAGTCTCCATCCTGACCTCTTGAGGGCCATACAGCACCTAACTGAGGGAGAAACGCTTGTTCAGGCTCAATTTACCAGAACCATGTGATAATACTGGATTTATGATTATTTTTTTTTAAATGTAGAGCGCAAGTCCCTGCAAGATTTTCTCATCGTCTCAGTTAATCAACAGTTAATCAGCAATCTTACTCAGACTGCTGTCTTGAACGTTTAACCCCAGAGCCCTTGTGTTCTGTGTTGCACTCTCTGCAAGTGTTGATGGCTTACGACAGCCAACATTTCCCTCCTGTTCAGTGTGTTAGTGTGTTATCTGTTGTCTGGCTGCTGTTCGCTCTCCCAGAGATGACTGCTTCCTGACGGGAAGCTGAGAAGCACTCTGCACCTGTAGTTACAACAGGCACTTTCAGAACAGAAACCTGTTTTGGAAGTTGCCTTCAAAAGCCTGCAGCAATTTTTGCTACGCTGAATTAGACCATCTGGCTCCCTGTAGCCCATCTGGCACCTTTCCTGGTTTACTGGCCATTGCTGGGCATCATTTGGCGTCTGAGCTCTTCATTTCTTACTTTTCTCATGTAGACATCTGGCCTTTCTTTCCTCCTTTCACCTCAGTGACAGCGAGATGGAAATGGAGGCCGAGCATTACCCCAATGGAGTCCTGGAGAGTTCATCCACCAGGATAATGAATGGCACCTACAAACATGAAGAGATCCTGCAGACGGATGAATCCAGCATGGGTAGGGCCTCAGAGGCAGGAGGGGTAAAGGGAAATAGAAAGAGGTGGTACAAGAGTTAAAACTGTGATTGGATTGAGGGGAAGAAAACATGTACTTTGGGTTTCTTTCCCCACCCCACTGAGTGAAGTTCTCGGGATGCCTTTTTCACGAGGAAAACAAATCTGTCCTGGAACTAAAACCAAGTCTGGCTTTTCATAGTCTGGCAGCAGTGCTGGTGATGTTGTGGAGCAGAGAAAGCAATAGGAGTCAAAGGTTTGTTCGGTGCCGGTCATAAATTCCAGCTCAGAGCAGTCCTGGCACTTGTTCCAGCTGGGGGACTGACCTGAGCTGTGCAAGGCTGCTGATGCTCAGCCACCAAGTGTCCTCAGCACAGTGTGCTCAGCTACGGCTGCCCTGTTTGTGGGTGCGTTAGCCAGGAGGGAGAAGATGAGTTAGCTACACTACCTCTGAAACCAGTGATTCCTCCAGTTATAATGGGTCTTGTAGCCACTGAAATACTGAGAAGTTGGTGGTGTTGGCATCTCTGAAAGTTTTCTGAGTCCAGGGTTTATTAGGCCAGGGGTTTCCGTCTTGTGTACACTCTATCGCACGCATGAAAGGGTGACACAGCTGGAGTTGCAGGCTCCCATGATTCTATCCGAATACATGATTTGTAGGTAGTCCTCAGGCATTAAACAAACTGAGCTCAAATTTTCCCTGTGAAAAAAAGCGGCTGTTGTAGCACAGGGATCAGAAGAAGCTTCCTCTGGGATAAACTTCAAGCAGGGAGCAGCTACCTGCTCCAGAGGGGGAAGGAGTTTATGGGCAGCGTGACGCAGAGTGGTCAGTGGTGGGGAATGACAGATGATTGTTACTTCTCCACTGCCTTTCCTCTAGAAGACAGCTGCCCCCAGAGGCAGCTCTGTGGAGGGAACCATGCTGCCACGGAGCGAATGATCCAGTTTGGACGGGAGCTGCAGATGCTGAGCGAACAGCTTTGCAGAGAATATGGGAAGAACACAATGCACAAAAAGATGCTTCAGGTGAGCCTGGGCCTCGTGCTGCGTCGCAGCAGTTCTCTGGGCCAGGGCTGGGGTTGGGGGTTCTCTCTGGCTGGCCCCCGCTTCTGCACCTGGTGAGGAAGAGGGGGACCTGCGTGGGGATCAGAGGTTGAAACTCAGTGAACGCAGAGCACCTAGACCCACTTCTCGGCACAGGAGAGAAGAAATACAGCTTCTGCCTGCATTCGCTCTTCTTCTCTCCAGGTGACACTCTGCCTGCCTTCCCGTGCTGGTTCCCCTGCCAGGTGGAGGGGGCACCCTCTATCTTGATGGCCCAGTGGGGTCCCTTGCTGCCAAGAAGAAAAGGGCCATTTCTTTGCAGGAGGTAGGCACCGGTCACCGTGGCGATGGCAGGAGGTGCCCCGGCCGATGGACTTGGAGGTGTTCCTGTGTGTTTGCAGCCATGCATGACCTTACTGTGCCTTTCTGTTCTCTCACGCAGGACGCGTTTAGCTTGTTAGCTTACTCAGACCCTTGGAACTGCCCCGTCGGTCAACAGCTGGACCCGATCCAGAGGGAACCTGTGTGTGCTGCTCTTAATAGTGCTATATTGGGTAAGGCCTGGGTCCTGTGTAAGCACTCCCCGCTGGACATACCTGCTCTCAAGGGCTGTCCTGTGGCGGACAAGTCTGTGAGTGTTAGGAAAAGTTCAGAAATCCTTGTGTTTAGCTTTTGCCTCCCTTTCTGTTGCTGGGGACTGCCAGGGCGGTGATGCAGGAAGGCAGGCCTCCTCTGCCTCTCTCTCTCTCTGAAGACGGGTAGGGAGGATCATCTGTCGGTCCCATCTGGGGTGCCCCACGTCCACCGTAGCCGATTCGGTCTAAACCACGACAGTCTTCCTCAATGCTGCTTCCAAGGATGCTCCTTGGGATTTTCCTCCCCTGCTTACTGAGGAAGCCAAGATCTCTTCAATGCATTTCCTGCCCCTCTTCTTGCTCCAAACCCACCCAAATCACTTCGCTGGCATTAGCAGGGGTCTTTTCCACGCTGTTTGGCTTGGCAGAGTTTTATCCTGCCATCATCTTGCTTTCTAGTAGGGAACGCAGTTGCTCTGTTGCAGCAGTGCATAAGTGCAGCGGGTTTCTGTAGCATTGGCTCTAAAGCAGAGGGAGGGCCAGAAATCCAGGTACCTTTGATGTCTTGTTGGACGCGCAGAGTTAAATGGATCTGTCTTCCCTTGGAGCGTTGCCGCTACGTGTTCCCATCATGCGCTACGCCTGTTAGAGCCTGGAGAGCCTGGCAGCCCCCAGTCCGTGCAGTGTTGGAATCGGGGCTGTGGTAACGGTCCAGCCCTGTTGCTCTTTCCCCTCTGCTCCTATCTGTGCCCAGAGAACCCCACTCTGTGCAGATGGGGGGTTACAGGGTGGTTTTCTTCAGCTAGCAAAACAGCTCCCCTTTTTCTGATGAGCTTTGCTCCTTGTGTCAGCAGGGTGGATCAGGGTTGGATCCAGGTATGAGCAGTCTCTTGCCCTCCTGTGTGACCTCAGAGCTGAATGTTTATGCCTGTTCTCCCATTTTCCTTAGACAAGAATGTTCCTTGGCCCAACAGCTTGTTGTCGTTTAGTCTCTTATCTTCAACCTGGTATTGTAACTACTGCAGTAGCGTTCCCTGATGGAAGTCTTATGCTTGCAATCAATGAGTTGCCGTGTCATTGCTGACCCTCCTGACATCGTCAGCTACAGAAAATCCCATGATGGAGAAATGGTTATAGTGATAATGAGGTCATGGCCTGCCACCAGTCTGCGAGGAAGGGATTGTTTCATTCTAGGCAAGGCCCTTGATCCTGTCACCAGACGCTGCACATGCTGTGTCATCTCTCGGGTAACTTCACAGGACGTTCCCCAGTCTGGGTTAGCTCAGTCCATCCACAGCCAGCCAAACGCTGCCCACTGAACAGCTTCTCCATCTCAGAAACCCAAGCTTGGCTCCTGCGCCCAGTCCAGCTCACTGTGCCCAGACGTATTTCCTAGTGGGTCTGTGCACCTCACGCTGAGCGTACCAGAAGGCGATTTAGAGATAGTCTTCTGGGGGAAGGAACAGCTTGATGGACAAAGCCCTGAGGGCTCCTGTTCTGTCTGAGTAAAGGAACAGAAATGGTTTGGGAAGGAGAGTCCCTTCCCCTGACAGTCAGTGTAGGCAGGTGTCCAGCAGAGTGGCTCAGTTTGAGCCGTTACTTGATCAGTGCTTGAGGAGCATGGACAAGTTGCTGAGGGCTGTCACCAGGGAGACGTGAGAGGTAGTGTCTGGGCGTGCTTCATCTCACAGGTCACAAGACACTTTGTCTAGCTCAGCTGAGGATTCCCTCTTGCATACATAGTGAACATGAAGTCGAAAAGAAGCAGTGACCAGGGCGTGAGTTTGTCTAAGGCTTGGACTACTGTGTAGGCTTACACAAGTGGGAGAGATGGAGAGGTTGCCTCTCACTTGGTGCCAGCTTCTCCTGCCTTTCCTTATTCTTCCGTGCTTTGATCTCATGCTTTGAGCGTTTTCTGGCAGACACTGAGGCAGGAGGAGCTCCACTGCCTTCTTCTCTAGCCACCGCAGCAGCACTTTCTCAAAGGCCCTGTTGAGCTGTGGCCCCACATGGGACGTGTTATGGGTGGTGGGGTGTGTGGAGGAGCAACGGTGCAGAGCCAGCGGTACTCAGGAGTAGCTTCCTTCCAGAGCCAGCGCCTTCTGCCAGGGATGCTGGGCTTGGGGCCCAGGTGGGACTGAGAGGGACCCAAGTGCAAGTGAGCCGGCACGCAGCTGGGACGCCTCTTCTAAACAGATTTCTTTTTTTGCCCCCACAGAATCTCAGAACCTGCCAAAGCAGCCCCCGCTGATGCTTGCCCTGGGCCAGGCCTCGGAGTGTTTGCGGCTCATGGCTCGCGTGGGCTTGGGCTCCTGCTCCTTTGCCAGAGTAGACGACTATTTGCACTAGCCACCAGAGCAAGACGGAGTTGACATCGTTGAGTGCTGCCCTTCACCCTCCGTTGCTGCCACTACACCACCACCTCGTTCGATAGCCTGACCTCCCTGCTGCCACCACCACCCCCTCTAGCGCACGCACACACACTGCCCATGAAAGGATTGAGTGAGTCCCTCACTGTGTGGCTATTCCTGACCCCAGGAACGACTGGCAGATCTTACCCGTCTCCCTGCCATTGCTGCGGCTCCAGCGGCACTCAGTATTTCGCTGGTTATTCTAATGTAGCGCCTTCCAATGTAGGGATTTCTCTTTGTTTTGATTTGAGTTGTTTCTCATGGATCCACCAGTATTTTATCTGGAGAGTTTTGCTGAGCTGGTTTCTGCTGAGTTACTGAGGAAGCTCATCAAGTTGGTGACAGCTTGTTCTTTTCTTCCCTTTTCCCTCCATCGTGCACATACAGCAGCATCTTTGCTAGTTGCCTGAACTCTTCTCGCAGTGGCAGTTCAGAGGGATTTTTTTTTAATTTTATTTGAATCCTGTTTATTAAAAAGGTCTCTTCCACCTCCACAAAGTCACTGATGTATTTATTGCCCACAGACTCGGTCCCAGCCATACACATCATACAACCCTGCAGGAGACCTGGTGAGGTAGGTCCTGTTGCGCGCTAATGATGGCAATTGGAGGAACTGGTCGTTCATGGTGCGTGCCTCTCTGAGAGCACAAGGCTCTCAAACGCTTGTCTTTGTGAGTGGGAAGAGTAGAAGACTTGACATTGCCTATGTTAGTGGCTGCACTGCAGAAGCATCTGACAGTGATGAGAAATAGGTAAATCCAGCTCTCACAGCAGCTAGAGGGACAGAACTGGCAAATATGAAGTCATCTACCGCTGTATTGATGGACACAAGTCATGTTGGCCTGCAAGAAACATCTGTGGGTGCTGCTGTCCAGTTGGGCTGTCAGGTTTTGTGTTAAATCACAAATCCCCCCTTTTCTCCATATAGGAGGGCTCTGGCACTAAGACTCAATAATAACAGTATTTACTGACCCCTCCACGTAGCACTGATCTAAATGAGCGCTTCTAAATTTTGGAAGTGTCTTGAGAACACTAGCGTGAGCTGTGCTCACCCTCACAGGTCGCACAGCGTGCCAAGGTCAGGTTGTGGGTTAGGGTCAGTACAGCTTCTTAAGCTCGGAGATGATCAGAAGGGAGCAGCAATGTTTTTTTAAGGGCTACTAAGAAAATTATCTTAGTTTCAGGCCCAAAAATGACCAGTGAGGCTCTGTGGTTGAGTAACCTCTGAGTCAGTTGGACTAATGTGTCCCTGCTGCAGTACCTGTCAGGCCCAGGGACTCAAGTGCTGCTCAGCTTTCGGCATTTAAACCATCCACCTGTTAGTGTTTCTGAGCGCGTACGTTTAAGCGGTGAGGCTGTGTAGAAGGACTGCATGCTTTGCATCCTCTGGTGTACCGTTAGGAGACTTCAGGTTGGGTCTGGCTGCACGGGAGGAATTGCGATTCTTCACCAAATGAATTTTAGGTCAGTAGCTCTGAGGAGGGGCCAGAAGAGCTCAGACCCAACATGTATTTTACTGCTGTTGATGGATTTTATTATTTTTTTTTAAGAGTCAGTGAAAGATGAACAGATTGTGTTGAAGTTTGCCCTTAAATGGAGGTTAGCCCGTGCCAGGGCTTCAAGCAGCAGGAAAGCTTGTGTGCCGCGGAAGGAATGAAGGTGGTGTGTGACCTCTTGTGCGGTAGCCCAGAGCTTTAAGGATTTTCCGGCTTGATTTGCAGCTGGAACGTGAGGGCTGAAATGAAGGCAGAGCGAGGGGGGGCAGGTGTCCCCTGCACTGCAGAAGATGACTGGCAGTGGATGTGCAGGTGGTGGTGGAGGTGGTCGGGAATGCCTATGGCTACCTTTTCGTGAAGGTATACAGTGTGTAGAGCCAGTGCTAGAGCCGTGGTGTCCTAAGAAAAGAGGCAACGCGAGGTTTAGAGATGGAGGAGATAGTTTTATTAGATCAACTCGTATAGTTGAAAAAAGCAGGGGGAGCTCTGTGTACCACAGCCGTTCTTCCAGGCAGACAGAAGCGGAGGTCTGCACGAAAGCAGAAGAATTCAACTTGCAAATGTGGGGCTTCTGTTTCAGTTCTGGGGAACAGCTCACGTGCCCTGAAAGCTCATCCATTGATTTTCAACTCCGCTCGTTGTCCCAGGGATGGATGTTGCCCCAGCCTGCAGTTGCAGAGACACTTTAGCTTGGTGGGCAGGCTTCCTTTCTCAAGCCTCTGGTGCTGGACCTGCCCAACCAAACCCATGGTGCCCCGGTGCCGTTGCTGAGCCTGAGGCAGCACAGGAACTTGCCCTGGTGAGTCTGTCTCCTGTGAGCTCTTCATTTCTTAGACCCAGGCTGATGGCACGCTGATGGGCTGATTGTGGGTACTTGGCTTGGAAACACTCCAGTACCTGGCTTTGCCCTTCACATTTGGCAACTGCCTCTGCTGCTGGTGACCCTGTAGCTTGCTGCTGTCTGGCTGCCATCAGACCTGTCTTTCATCTTCGTAGCAACACCAGATTTATCTCTTTTCTGAGTTTTCTTTGTGCCTTCTCTTTGTGGTTCCCTTAAGCCAAGTCTCTTTGTCACGTGTCATATTAGTGCCCCACTTGGTCCCTCAGCAAAGCTGTGCTGACTGTCCTGGAGCATTTATTTTTTGTGTTGGTTTCCGCTTAGCTACAAAAAAACCAAAACAAAACAAAAACCAAACCCAAGAGATGCTCCTGTTTATTCTGGTGCCAAGAAATGCGTGATGGGATGGTCTGTCTGGCTTCCCATGGAGACCGTCCCGGTGGTAGAAACCATCTTGTTGTTGTGTCAAGGTCAGTGCTGAGAAGCCACACTCTTAATGATGATTAATTGCATATAGCAGGGCTGAGTCACTCTTCCTGCCCCTGACAATGTGCATCACATAGTGGCAGTAGATCCCTGTAGACCAGACAGCAGTGAGATACTTTCCGCTTCTTGCACTCGCCAGCTCTGGTACGTGGTGTGCTGATTCTGTTTTTTTGGGGAGTGTAAAGGCTTTTCTGCTGTGACGTATCTGTCCCTTACCTGTTTTCACTGGTGGTTCCTGCTTGTTGTGCTCAGGTTCTGACTAACATGGTGGAACTTGATGATCTTCAAGGTCCCTTCCAACCTAAACCATTCTATGATTCTATGACTCAGTGTGGGGAAGAGGAATGTGTTTGTGGTGTGTGGTGGAGGTATAGGCTTCAACCTACCACTGATTCCTAGATGAGATTCCTGACTTAATTTTCCCAGGTTGTTTTTCAAAGCCTCTTGGTCTTTGTCCCAGGCTGCTCCTTTGATGGTTCATGTCAGCCGAGACTTGGTTTGAATTGTTGTGGTCATTTTAAAAACCAAACAGAACTAAATTGAATTGAGGGCTTTAACTTTGAATGTGGTTTACACCTAACCACAGGCTTCATGCAGTTTAAAAATCACTTTCATAAAAGTGATTTGGAATTTGTTATTCCAAGTGCCTCATGCTTTGCTCAGAAACAGATGAGCTAAGAACACCCCAGCTAAGTCTCTGCTTCATCTGGGCAGTCCCTCACAGTGTCACTTCTCCCAAGAGTCCTTCAGTAAAGCCATGTAAATGGTTGTGTAGCCCATAGTAGAAACTCCTGGCTTCTTATTTCTTGTTGAGGGTGACAAGGTCTGAGCTGTGGCCCTGCATTAGAACACTGGTGGCATTGGATATAGGACTTCCATCACATGAGGCTGACATGTAGGTTGCTCTCTGTTGGGCTGACTTCAGAGCCTAGAAGGTTTTCCGAACCACAGCCAGACGCCGCTCACAGCCAACATTTCTCACTATACAGCCCCAAGAGAGGCTTTCTAGCTGTGGCGGCCTTCCCAGGACCTGAGAAGACTTCGGGGAGACCTTATAGCAGCTGTCCAGTATCTGAAGGGCACCTACAAGAAAGATGGAGAGGGGCTTTTTCCAAGGTCATGTAGTAATAGGACGAGGGGGAATGGCTTCAAGCTGGAAGAGGGGAGATTTAGATGAGATATCAGGAAGAAATTCTTGCCTGTGAGGGTGGTGAGCCCCTGGCATAGGTTGCCCAGAGAAGCTGTGGCTGCCCCATCCCTGGAGGTGTTCAAGGCCAGGTTGGATGGTGCTTGGTGCAACCTGGGCTGGTGGGAGGTGCCCCTGCCCAGGGCAGGGGGTTGAAACTAGGTGACCTTTAAAGGTCCCTTCCAACCTAAACCATTCTATGATTCTATGAAGCACTGCAGCTGTAACAACTGAGCCTCTTCCAGCTCTGCTGTGCCTACACAGTCATGGGGGCTCAGCTCTCAACTGATCAGCTCAGTGTCACCACCAAAGAGGTGACAATCTACACAGTGGAGGGTACCCTTCAGCTATGTACTCTGGACACCAGCCACTCCACCTGCCTTCCTCAAACTTGATGTAGCCCAAGGGCCTCTCAGAAGGATAACGTTTCACAGGGACTTGGTGGAAACCTGCTTTCAAGGGTGGTGAACTGCAGCCCTGCACATCTTGGGCTTCGGTTTTGAGCCCAATGCCCTGGCTATTAAGTGCCCCTTTAAGAACAACATTTTGGGAACTCCAGACCCAGAGCCTCGGTTAAAGTGTCCTTCAGTCCTGCAGAGAGAGCTTCAGGGAGCTGAATTCAGTCACCAGGCTTTTCTCCCTGTGGACAAGGGTTCGTACTGTCCCCACAAGCAGTGAGTGAGAGCAGTCACATAGACAGTAACGTGGGAGAACTTTGGAGTGAGATGAGGGATTGACTTGGGATTTTGGAGGCATTGAAGAAGCTGAGATAAGTGTTTCTGGGAGGTGTATCCACCTCATACATTTTGTACTCCAGCCTCTGACCATCTTAGTGGCCTCTGCTGGATGCAGTCCAGTTTGTAGACATCTCTACTATACCAGGGAGCCAAATCTTGTTCCTTTTGGTTCCTCTTGTTCCATGTCACAGAATCACAGAATGGTCAGGGTTGGCAGGGATCTCTGGAGATCATCTAGTCCAACCCCGAGATGATTCCTCTTGCTGCTCCATGATCCTATCCTAGCAGGTGTTTGACAAAAGCTGATTCAAGACGTACACGGTTCAGTGAGCTCCAAGTCAACGTCTTCTGTGAGCACGGAGGGCAGCAGTCTCTTCCCATGTGTCCTTAGGTGTGCTCTCAGAGCCAGCTTGTCTTGGCAAAACTTCTTGGTGCTACCAGGTCTCCCTTCTTGCTCCTTTGCCTCCCCTAGTCCCAGTGTTCTCCCACCTGTGTGACCACCAGAAGTGGTATTTGCAGTGTTTGTCACTGCGGGAGCTGCTTTAAGACTAGGGTCACCTCTGTGGCTCGTGCCAACAACGCATTTGTTGAGCGTGGGCATGGCAACTCCGACTGCTCCTGGGCTTGCTTCTGCTGTGCTGGCCTAACGGGGCAGATCTGCGTGGGGACGATCCCTTTTTGTCACCATACGGGGTCCCGTCGGCCTGCAGCTGGGCTGGCTGTAGCACTTCTACTATTCTTTTGGAGTCTG